AGCGCCATGCACTTTCCCCTACCTCGACCTTGCCTCCCCCTCCCCCTCCCGTGTCCTCTTGCCCCCGCGCCGCTCCACACGCCCACGCCCGCACGCCTCTCTCCCTCTTTGCCTCTCTCTCTCTCTCTCTCTTGGTGCCTCCCTCGGCGAGCACCCTCCTCTCCTTCCCCCCACCCCACACACGCACACGCGCATACGCACACGCCAGCGCGCACAGCAGGCACCATGGCCGTCTCGTCATACGGCCCGTCGGCCATGCGGTCGGCTGTCATTGCCTCGGTGGAGTCCTACGGCTCCGAGTTCGCCAGCAGCCAGGCCAGCGCGGCCGCCAGCCGGACACTGGCTGAGCGGATCATCTCCCCCGCGTGGGCCAGCCACTTCACCGGCCCGGAGCATCTTCTCCCGCCGGGCGACGTGACCCACGTCCGGCCGCTGGACCCCCAGCGCCTGGCCGTGGCCACCAGCGAGGGCTGGCTGGCCATCTTCGGTCAGGAGGGGCCGGGATCGGCCGATGGCGCGGCGGCCGCGGCCGCCATCCCCCCGGGGCCCTGGGCACCGGATGCCGAGGCCGCGGCGCTGGCGCACGCGCGGGCCGGGCTGCTGGGCCGGCCGACGCTGTTCCGGCTGTTTGCCCTGGCCCCCGGGCTGCCGGTGGACGCCTTCGTCTGTGTGCAGTACCTGCCCGAGGTGGATCGGCTTTTCGTGGCCCTGGCCGAGGGGGACCTGTACACGGTGGACTTGGCCCCGGCCGATGGGGCCGGGTTCCCGAGCGAAGGGGACCCCTTCGGGGACCCGCTGGCGGCCGGGGCCCTGGGCCTGGCCGGCCCGGCGGCCGGCCACCACCATGACGACGTGCTGACCAAGTACCGGGGGTATTTGGCGTCCTCGGACGAGTCCTTCCCCCGGCAGACCACCGAGCAGATTGGCTCGGTGGAGGGCGGCCTCCGGGCGGCCGAGTGGGCCCCGGCCGGCGACCGGGTGGTCCTGGTCACCGGCCTCGGGCAGCTGCTGCTTCTGTCGAGCGCGCCGGACTTCGAGGTCCTCTCGGAGTTTGATCTGCTGCAGGCCGAGCAGGCCGAGGGTGCGTCGTGGTGCTCTGTTGCCCTGCTCTCTTCGCTCCTCTCGCTCCTGCTCCCCCCCCCCTTTCTGCTTCCTCTTCTGCCTCCTCTCTCCCCTCCTCTGCCGCCCATGCACCGGCCTCTGACACACATGCAAAATGCCCGCACACGAAACAGGCGCCCCGGTGTCCGTAGGCTGGGGCCGGCGCGAGACGCAGTTCCACGGCAAGGCCGGCAAGCACAGTGCCCGGCTGGCGGCCGAGCGTCTGGAGCAGGTCCTGGCCCAGAGCCAGAGCCTCCTGTCGCCGGCTGATGACGGCGGCGTGCGGGTGTCCTGGCGCGGCGATGGGGCCCTCTTCGCGGTGTCCTGCACGACGACCGCCGGGCTTGGCTCGGACCCGGGGGCCGCGGCGGCGGCCGGCGGCAAGGAGCGCCGCGTGGTGCGCATCTTCTCCCGGGCCGGGGCTCTCCAGGCGCAGACCGGGATGCTGCCCTTCCTGGAGCACACGCTGGCCTGGCGCCCGGCCGGGAACCTGCTGGCCGCCACCCAGCGCCTGGACAGCGGCCACCAGCGGGTGGTCTTCTTCGAGCGCAATGGCCTCGAGCATGGGCACTTTTTCCTGCGGTCGCCGGCGCTCGACCGGCTGGCCACCGCCGCCGGCACCGCCGCCGGGCCCGAGGTTCGCTCCGCCGGCAATGCCATGCCGGATCCGATCCCGGCCCGGGCGCTGACCGGGCACGTGCTTGGGCTCCAGTGGAGCGCCGACTCCACCGTGCTGGCGGTCCTGCTGGAGGCCAGCCATGCCGACACCGGGCCCGAGGCCGACGCGGCCCCGGTGCAAGTCCTCCAGCTGTGGACCATGGCCAACTACCACTACTACCTGGAGCAGGAGCTGGTGTTCGGCGGGTCGGCCGACACCGGCACCCGGGCGGCCATGCTGCTGGGTCTCGGTTCCTCCCCGGCGGGGCCGCGCCCGGTGGAGCACTTGCGCCTGACCGCCCTGCAGTGGGACCCGGACCGGCCGCTGCGCCTGTACCTGGGCCTGGCCGGGGTCTGGGGCTGCTCGGAGCCCGGGTTCCCGGAGGAGGCCGGGCTCCTGGCCCGGGTGGACCTGTCCTTCGGGGTGGCACGCGACGACCGGCCCGGGCCCCTGAACTGGGCCACCGTGGCCGTGACCGATGGCGAGGTCCTCCGGCTGACGCCCCTGCGCACGGCCAATGTCCCCCCGCCGATGGCCCTGCACACGGTGCACTTCCGTGCCGCCGTCCGGCATGTGGCCTTCGCGCCGACCTTCGCCGCGGATGTGGTGGCCCCATCGCCGGACGACCGGCCCACTCGGCTGCTGGCCCTGCTGGCCTCCGGGGACCTGGCCTGTGTGGCGTACACCCGCGGCCCTGGGGCCTGCCCGGTGGCGCACTACCTGCCGATTGCGCAGCCCGATGCGCAGGTCATCCTGGCCGGGGCCCGGCAGCTGGTGTGGGTGTCGGCCGTCCTGGCCCTGGCCGTGGTGGGCGTCAGCGATGTGTACGCCATCGCCCTCGGCCGCGCCGGCGCCGGGCACTCGGAAACCGTGCGTGCCCCCCCCCCCCCCCCCCCCCCCCCCCC